ATTTTTGGGCCTTTATGTGGTCTTGTAACACTTAGCTGCAATATTTTTATATGTTTATGCCAAATAAAGTCGTTGCATTTTTCTTCTTCATAGGATTTTTAAAACCTGCTCGTTACAATTCATTCCTGAGAGTGAAATGGGGTGATTAAATTTAAGCATCTACTCTGTTGTCTAAATGCTTATTGCTCTTATCTCAGACTATAATTCCAAAAGAAAACAATTTCAAACAACCTGGTGAGCGCTACCGTTCATTTGCACCAGACAGGTTTGTTCTTTATTCATGTCCATTAGGTGTGTTATCAAGTGATCTCTCGTTTTCTGCCTGATACAATCTAATTGTCTTTGCAGACAAGAACGCTTTATCTGCCGCTGGGTTGATGCCTTATCTGACCCAAGGGTCACTTACGAGATACGTAGTATTTGGATCTCATACTGGTCTCAGGTAAACCATCTCTTTCTTTTCCTCTTTCAATGCGTCACATATATTTTTGCGTCATTCTTGTTCTCTCGAATTTTGCAATGCTTTCCTGGGAACCTGTAATTTCTTCGTGATAGCCATGGAAAATGCAGTACTTACTGATGTGAAAAGTGACTAAAAATATGTTACATGCTGCAGGCTGACAAATCTCTAGGTCAGAAGCTTGCTTCTCGCCTCAATATCAGACCAAGCATATAAAAACGTTTCTGCAACCTGTGCCATTCCCTTCTCGAGAAGGTGGTGCAGAAAAAATAGGGAAAATGTAGTTTTTGTATGATGGTCATCCTGGTTGACAGAACCTGCAGTAAAGACAGTATTCATTCGGGTGCTGAAATAATTTCTTTGCTAATCCAATTAGGTACAAGATTAACGGATATTTTTACTGTTCGATGCCTTATATCGATGTATCATTGTTCGTTCATTTGGTTGGTTGATATACTGATTTACAGCCACCCAATTTTCTGAAAGTATAATGTTAACAATGATGCAGGTGTATAAGCAGTATCATTTCAAGGTTTTACTGCTTATATTGCCAGTATAATACCTTATCCTGCCAAAGTTTTAGCTTACAAGGCAAACATTAAGCTGCTATAATCCAGTAAACTGGCTGCTTGTCAACCAAATTTATTGTGTTAATTACTTCATTTGGTTGATCGTTAATTAATGAGACTGTACAGTGAATTGAAACCTTGGCTAACTTGGTAATAACCTCAAATTCATGACATTAAGCTTTTTAAAGATTTCAAACTTGATTATAGTCCAAACCAGTGTTGCCTAAACTGGACCGAATTAAGTAGTTATGTTAAATTCTTGGAAATTTATAGCTAGCAAATCCTCTAGATGTGGATGAGACATTATTATAGTTCATAGATTCACGGTTTCATGACTTTAAAGCTAATGTGGGTTATGACGTTGGAACTCATCTTGATTTAGTTTATGTTGGAATAGGTTTAGGTATCCCACTTTGTGTGAATATAACATTTTTATGGGTTCTATTTTATTTGTAGTGGTGATTTAGAAAAGTACTAAAAGAAAAGAAAAAGAATACTATTTTTTCTTTGTTTTTTAGAGCAGGGAAAGTGTGGAATATAAGAAGTGGGGAGAGAAATATGAACCCAAAACTTCTAATTTCTGAAATTTCAACCTTTAACTGCCGACAGAAAAAAAGATTCATGTATCGAAACTTTTCTTATTTTCGCATTGCATTTGCTCCTCTCTGGCTTTTTTTATATACATGGTACCATCCATGCAAAATTTTACCTATTTTTCTTTCTTTGTGTTTTTTCTTTACTTTTATTTTTGAAGGAAGTATACCTGGATTTTTTAAAGCAAAATTAACTTACACATATACAAAATGGAAATCTTTGCTTTCAAATCAAAGCTATACATCCTTCTTTGGCCTTTTTCCATGTTTACTGACAGCTTAAACCAAGGAGTCAATGAAGAATCTTTAAATAAAATAAAATCTAGCAATCCTTAAGGAGGTGCATCAAGTCTTTTTCCTTAGTTGATTTAAGGGATAATTTCAGAAACCTCCCTTGAGGTTTCATTAAATATCACTTAGCTCTCTTAAACTTTTCAAAATCTCATTTAGCACCCTTGAAGTGATAGTAGGGCCATATACTAATATCAAAGGTGATGAATTGTCAATAATAACCTCATATTTAAATTTTCTAAACTTGGTTTTCTTTCTCTAAATTTCCTACTTTTCTTTAACAATGTCTATACAAACATACATACATATATATATATACATATATATATATATATGCATGTATGTATAATTGAATTGCAAATGTCAATAAAATATCGGATTTAATCAATGAAATATTCAATGCATTTGGAGAAGAATAGCTGCAGGTTCTTTTTATTTTTTTCCTTTTTTGGTGTTTCACAATTTTATTTATTTATTTATTCCTATTCATGTAGAGCGCAAGAGAATTAAAGTAATTGAAACTCCAAATAGTTTTTCAAATTCAGACTTTTTCTATAATAAAATTTTCATATTTTACACCCATAAAAAAAGTTTATCTATTTTAAGTAAATTTTTTGTATGATATTGAAGTTAAATTTCATCTATTACTTAGTTTTTTTTGCTCAAATATATGATTTTACATGCTAATTACCTTCGACGCTATGAAGGGTTCTATTAGTAGAAATGGTTTAAAAAATAGTATTTGCTTTTACTATCTCTTTCTACTGTAAAAGTGACAATTAGCTGTAACATAAAATCTTATCAATTTTCATCTCCCCACTTTTAAGATGGTTCCAATTTAGTACTTTTTTCCTTGGTTTGTAAAATGTTCATTTTTTATAGCCTAAGGGTATTAAAGGCACTAAAATAATCTCTCTCCTCAAACATGAATTTTTTAATATTACTTTTGGTTGGAAGGGCTTTTAATATTATCAAAATGTCAATTCAATGGGTGCTAAGTGAGATTTTGAAAACCTCAAGGGTGCTACGTGATATTTCATAAAACCTCAAGGGAGGTTCATAAAATTATCTCTTGATTTAAACTTGAAATTTCAAAATGACAACCATCACCAAAGTATTTTCTCTTACTCTCCTTCGTTGGAAAACTTCTCATATATTTCATGTCAAGCTACATACATATATGGGAAATAAGAAGATGATGATAATTCGCAAGAGTTACGGACACATCTAAGTCATTAGATGATTTGAAGTATCACACATGAAACTTTTTACGGGCCAATCGGTAAGTGCAATTGCTTTCCGTTTTGGTGATGGTTTCTTTCCTCATTCTCTCTTTCCATGTCCACATTAGTCACCCTTTCTATCTTTCTCTTATGTTGTTGCATTTCTCTCTTCTCCCTTCCTCTCACCATCGCACTATCTTTAGAGTTCTCAATTCTTCTATTACTTTTTAAAGTAGCATATTTCAATCGGCAATTCCTACCTTTTTTACCAAATAACATCTACCTCAATTTTCTTCGAACCCTGAATTGAGACTAACAATTATGCATCGATTCAATCTTTGTATCCAACTTTAAACTAAGTTACTCTGCTTTGTAACCAATGACCATTTAGAAGGAATTGGAATTTTTTACAGAAAGTGAAGATTCTGCCGTGACTAAATTGAGCATTAGTAGTTGTGTGAGGTAGAGTTTTCTGGCAGTTGTTTTGTAGTTTGTGTTGAAACTTTTGTAAATCTAATTGTAAAATTATATTGGACAAATTACATTTTACCCCCATGATTTAGTACTTTTTTACGTAACTCCCCTATAGTTTCAAAAGTTATACATAATCCCTTCATAGTTTGGATTAAAGTGTCAAAGTGAATGAAATAGTCATTCGTAACGAAATTTCTAAAAATGTCGAAATTATCCTTATCAATACATGACACACTAATCCCGTATGATTTTTATATTTTACCGTATAATCCCCTTATGATTTAATACTTTACCATATAACCGCCTTATAATTTTCAAAATATACACATAACCCCCTTTGGTTAATAAATAACTTTCAACTTTACATAAGGGGATTTTTTACGTTTTAGGTGATTCCGTTACGAATGATCATTTCCGTCACTTTGATACTTTAATCCAAATCATGAGAGGGTTATGTATAGCTTTTGAAACCATATGGGAGTTATGTAAAAAAACACTAAATCACTGGGGATAAAGTGGAATTTGCCCAATTATATTCAATAGGTTGAACAGATTTCCAACTAGGTTATCCATTTTTCTAGATTCATTGTAATTCGCCAATTTGTGATTATTTTCAACGAATAATAGATGACCATCACCAGTTATCGGTGTGGCATTGTTCTTGCTTAAGCTTTGAAAAGCAAAGGAATTTTAGCAGCAAAAACCAAGCAAAATAAAAAAGTAAAAGGAAAAAAAGAGTAAAACTTAAGCTAGACAACTGGTAGATATAGCATTTGTAAGTTTTGTTCTTGTTTAAGTAAGGAAAAACAAATGAATTTTAGCACCAAAAAACAATCAAAATAAAAAGAGAAAAAAGTAAAACTTAAGCTTAACAACTTGTGTGTGCGTGTGTGTGTGTATATATATAAACAGAGGTTCAATGATGGTAAAAGAAAAATCTTTTTGAACGATTATAAATCATATTGACATTATTTTATTAGTTTACAAAGATGTACAAATCATGTACTATTCTAACACGATCAATTGATATGTTTAGAACGTTAATTGCTCGTCAGCAATTATTATAAATGGTTAATAAGCGGAATGAGAAGATTCAAATACAATTAAAAAATAATGTACGAGTTTGGCAATCACACATTTGAGCAGAATTAATACGAATAGTGCCCATATTGAAAAAAAAATCTCGGTTTATTTTTTAGACCCTTTTCTCGTAAATGAGGCGTTTCCAAAATAAAACACACAAAAAAATAAAGGAAAAAAGGAATCCCTCAAAGTGGATAGGCACGACGACAAGTGGTGGCCTACTCAAACAACAGTGATGGATGACTGGCCGGCTGGTCCTTTCATAACAGCACTGCAATCTAATCATTCATTTTTTATTTTTATTTTGCCATTCTTGCAATATTTACCTCGCTTAGTGCTTCGGGTTCGAGATCCATGGTGGTAGTATTTGGTCCGATATTCCGTAACAAGAAAGCGTTTTTAGCGTTCAAATTCTTCAACTGCTTCTTTCTTTGTGCTTAAAAAGTTCTCCCTCCTTTTCCTCCCTCCTTTCTGACTGTTTCCTAATTCCAAGAGTTTGGATTGGATCTCTTTCTCTCTCTCTCTCGTTCTTGAGAGGCCTCACTTCTCCACTCAGGTACTCATTTTTTTTCTTTATCTTTTTAATTTTGATCTGCGGCTATTAGTCAATTGACGTGATCAATTTGCAATTTGGCTTTTCTCGATGCATTTTGCATCTGGGTTGTTGCTATTTTCTGTTTTTTCTCCATTAAAGTATGCTCTTTGGCTCTTGCCCAACCCTGGATGCCACTGTGTATACAAAGCGGGCTACTGCCAGTAGTCGGATAAGCTGAATTTTTGCATGGTTAGATTGTTGGCGCCTAAAAGGAAGATGGGTAGTTTTAAAGAATAACCCGTTTGTTTTAAGCCTGACTTGTCTACTTGGGCACTGAATTTGATTCCTTAGTTTCGAGCTTGGATGCTTAATTGTTGTGATCAATCTGGCATTTCTTGATCCATTTTCATTTCAGTTCGAGGTATATTTTCATTCTTTCTGGGAAATAATTTGAATGATGTTGGCCTGCCCGGGGAAAGAGGATGCGTATATAGCTTTGAACTTTAAAACATGCTAAAGAATATGCTGACCTTTTGCATGGTATTGTTTAGTTGTTGACGCCTCAAGTATCCTGTTTACTTTAGATGCTAAATACTTTATATCCATTTGGGATTTTCTCTTGATTTATTTTCACCTGGGTTTCCAATTTTATTAGGAGTAAATATTTGCCAATGCTGTAGCAGGTAGGCTAAACTTTTGCAATGTATGGTTTGCAGCTTCTTAAGAAAAGTTTCTAATTTAAAGGATCATTATCAGTTATTTAGATACCGAGCAACTGACAGTTTGAATTCTGTATTTATTTTATAGTGATTGAATTCTCAATAATATGGAGAAGGCAGACCCTGCACAGAAGCTCTACACGAGGTTGCGGCTCTGGGAGTTTCCGGACGAATATGTTATTGAGCCCACTGATGGTTCTTCTGGCTCCTCCTTGTCCATCAGTCGTGTGGATGGATCTATAAAGCTCATTGGTTGGTTAATTCATGCTGCTGTAGTCTGCAAGGATATTCTCTTTCTGTTAAGTTTTAAGTTTTTATATTGTCTAGCAGCTGGAGTTCGGCATCTTAAAAAGTGTCGATTTGTTTCTTCCAGATGACATACCACAGTGCACTTCACTTCGTGTTCCTAAAATACAGACCATTTTTGGTGTAGTCGGGCTGTTAAAGCTTCTCGCAGGCAGGTTTTTCTTATCCAAAACCTAATATTTTGAAGAAATTTCTGATGTTTTTTTATCTTTATGTGATTGTTTATCTAGTATAGCTGCATGGCCATTTATAGTTTTGATAACGAGGCAAATCAGCATTTTTTTTAAACATATGGAACATTGTCTGTAGTTCTTTTGTTTGTTTGTTTATGCCTCCCTAGCATAGAAGAGACTATTGGGGACGACTAGTTAAACATTGTGTGGGTAGTAGATTAGTTTTGTATGGTTAAATTCTTGTGGAAGTTTGTATATTCAAGATGTTGGATTTAATTGAGCTCACATGTCATCCTGGAGTCAGTGTGTCAGAACTGTTGTTCATATTGTGATATGGAATGTTTGAAGGCTACTATTGTTTTTAATTTAGTAGTTGATGATCCTGGAGTAGTACAATCATTACTATAGTGCTTGTTATTAATTTTTTTTGTTGATAACTTTGTGTGCTTTTAGGGTCGTATTTATTGGTTATAACTGAACGTGAATGTGTTGGATCTTACCTGGGGCATCCAATCTTCAAGGTCTCATCAATGAAGGTTTTTCCTTGTGACCATTCTCTCAAAAACTCTCCAGCTGAGCAGGTCTATTCTCAATCTTCTTTTGCCTTATATACTTTGATTTCAGTTAGCGTCCGTTGTTCTTGAGCAAATAGTAATATGTGAAGTATTTGGCAGAAGAAGATGGAAACTGAGTTTTCTGGACTTCTTAGTGTTGCAGAAAAGACTCCTGGTTTGTATTTCTCTTACGATGTCAACATCACGCTCAGGTAATTCTTGTTTTCATTTCTTTGTTTCATTTTGAACCTAGAACTGCAATTGAATGAGATTGTCTAGTGGTTTGTTAATGAAAAAAAAAAATTCAGACATACCATTGTTTTCAAATTTTGAGCAATAAACAGAAATAATCATTTTTCTGCCACATGAAGTCAGAAATCATGTTATGCTTCAGAACTCTTTTGGTTTTTCGTTGATACAGGGAACCTTGCTATACTGTGTGGTGGTCTTCATCAGTCTAGATATGGTTCTTTTTCTAATGTTGTATGCATGTCTCTGGGTAGAAAGTTGAAGCCTAATGATGAGAAAAATCTTCTTCTTTGAAGATTTAAGATGCCAAATTTTTAATGTTCTCATTAAGCTATGCACATGTGTCTTGCTCTAGTGCATTAAATCATTGTTTTTCTAATTTAAAGGTAGAAATGTCTATGAGGAAAGTGTATTGGAGAAAAGCTTTGTTTGAGATCTTTCTTTTGCTGTACTCTTTCTTTCAGTCCTCACATGAGATTTGCAGGCAAGGAGTTGAGTGTCCCATCTAATGGATCTAGTGTGTATATTCTACAAGTGCCTTTCTAGTCTCTAGGATTTGTACAAGAAATTTCTGTTTATTTTGCAATCTAAAATCATTTTGAATCATGAAGACACTGTTTAATTTGTATTGCAGCGCACAAAGATTACATGATTTAGGTGATGAATCAAAGCTACTCCCTTTATGGAGACAAGTAAGCTAACTTGATTTTAATGTTGCTTCAAAACATTTGCTTAGAAAACAAAGGTTGATGTTATCACTACCAAACCTGAGTTTTGTTTTAGTTGGTTGGGCTGAGTACAAGCATTTATGTCTGTGACATCACCTTACGCATTCATCACAAACATTTTATTCTTCAGGCAGATCCTCGATTTCTTTGGAACAATTATATGTTGGAAGTGCTTATAGATCACAAGGTTAGAAATTTCCTAGACTAGTGATGTCAATTCTTAACTCATTCTCTTAAAGTTTCTTAGACATTTCTGTCTTATGTAACATGTGCAGCTTGATCCTTACTTGCTTCCTCTGGTTCAAGGGAGTATCCTCCTTTGTTAATTTGTAAAATTTGGATTTCTGAGCTTTAAATTTAGTTGATATACTTGAGCTGGTTCGCTCTGAAAAGAGGTTTTATGTATCAATCCATGTTGCTAAAACCATAACTTCCTTTTTTGTTTATTTGTAAAATGTGGATTTCTGAGCTTTAAATTTAGTTGATATGCTTGAGCTGGTTCGCTATGAAAGAGGTTTTGTATATCAGTCCATGTTGCAAAAACCTTAACTTACCATCAGGTTTCAATCACTTTCAAGCTGCTACTGGAAAGGACATCATTGATGTTACACTGATTGCTCGGAGATGCACCAGGAGAACTGGTATGGAAAATTCTGGCCGTTAACTTTTATTACTCTTTTGTCCTTTTTCTAATTTAGTCTTTGCATAGAAACAAATGTCCGAAGATATTAAAAATTTGAGGAACCAAAAAATGAGAAAAGATGAGCTAAGTTATGGAAGATACGGTGGGAAGTTTTCATGTACCACTTCCAGTTTGAGTTTCAGATCTGATCATGGTGTATATACTTGGAATTGGCTAGAACCCAAATTCTTTGTCTTTCTACCCAGCCTGCTCTTCAATTGGATGTGATTGTTCAATCGTGGAGTATGTGCTCTCAGTTGCATCTGATGCTTGATAAGTGGTATTGTAAAAAATGCTTGGCAGAAAAGTTGCTTGAAAATTGAAAGGTTGTTCTTGTAATTAAAGCTCTGAGAATTTAAAAAATATATATATGGAATAAATCGTAAAGAAAAATATATGAAAAGGCATTTGTGTCATTTCAAGCTACATTTTGCTGAAAAGAAATTGGATGAGGTTAGTTCAGTCAATTAAGAAGTTGTCTCTAATTGTTTCTTACGATTACTTCTCTCCAGTTACACTACCCAACGAAAATGATCTCTTATATAGCTTCATTTTGTATCTTACCTTCATTGTCTTCGGTACTGCTTAATTTTGTTGCTCCCACATTATTGACCCTGTGGCTGGATACCATTCAACTTTGTGTTGCTTTGACACTATTGTTGCAACCGAGCATGGATAATGTGAACATATTGAACCACCCATGTACTCAAAAAAGAAAAGAAAGGAAAAGTTTCTTTGTGGTGTGGTACTCTTCATTATTCAATTTTCTTGGCTGCCCTCTCAACTAATGCTGATAATGTTTGAAGGTACAAGAATGTGGAGAAGAGGAGCTGATTCTGATGGTTTTGTGGCAAACTTTGTGGAAAGTGAACAGATTGTACAGTTGAATGGCCATACAGCATCTTTTGTTCAGGTTCAAGTCTTCATTTTCTCTCTTCTAATCATTTCTAGTTTTTTTTCACATGCCATTTTTGTTAGTTGAACTGCTTTTGGTTTTATGAACATAGATGACTAAACTTATTAGTGGAAGAGCCAGGAAAATATCAGTGGAAGCACAAATATATATGCATCATTTTTTAGTTCTATGGTATGGAACAATAGTGATAGTCACACAGAAAGTGATAACAATTAGCAAAATAAATAATCAGTAAATTTTATGCTTGGATGCTGCTCTATTTTCTTGTGTGATATCTAGCCTTGACGCTGCTGTATCTTCTTGTCTGATATCTAGCCTTGACGCTGCTGTATTTTCTTGTCTGATCTCTATAACCTTGATGGATAAACAGCTAATAAGTCTGATAAGTCTAATATTGCTCCAGCTAGAAACTAATGCTTCCTGTTGTAAGGAAGATGAGGTCCTTTTCAGGATCTGACAAAATCTTGAGTTGCAGACATGCCAGTTCTGCATAAGTCTTTTACTTAACTTTTCAATTAAATTCTTCCATTGATGTTTTTCTTATCAGCTGCTACTGTCACTGGAAACTTTTCCATGTCACAATCATCTTTGTGGTGAGTTTAGCTAATTTAATTGAAGAAATCTGTTCAGAAACCAAATATTTTAAAAAGACTTGTCCTTGAACATGATGGAATGCAAGCTTTTGTAGTATATAGTAGTGATGTCAAATTCTTGATTGAAGATACATTTTAGTAGCATCAGTTTTATCTTAAATATAATTATTCTGATAATGTTTCTGTTTTCAGGTCCGAGGTTCAATTCCATTAATGTGGGACCAGATTGTTGATTTGACATATAAGCCTAAGTTTGAGATTGTGAGGCTTGAGGAAGCTGTAAGTGGCAAAGCTCTGTAACTCTAGATTTGTTTCCAAAACCTGTGCCCTTCATTCTTTTAATGAATCATGTAAAATGCTGCAGCCTCGAGTAGCTGAGCGCCACATTTTGGATCTGAGAAAGAAATATGGAAACGTTCTAGCAGTAGATCTTGTTAATAAGGTACACTTTTGCTTTTATCATCCCAATTCAGATTTATTTCTATGGAATTAGTTGGGACATTTGAAGTTACCTTGAAATGTTTTATAGGGATGCCAGCACCTGTAATTACTTGTACAATTTTGAGATATCATATGTCAAATTATAGCTTTCGATAAGCTGAATGAATGAGAATCAACTGGACATGTTGATAAATGTAGTAATGCTTTTGATTGGTGTCAGAGTACGTGTTTACGCGTACATAACATCGATATAATTTTGATCTGATGATGGCATGAGTTAATTCAAATCAGGTGGTTGAACATAGATTTTGGTCGTAAGTTTTCTGGAAAGAAGAGATAGATTTACTGGTTCAATTTAGGAACAATACATTATGACTCTGATGATTGTTTGCAATAAAGCAAAAGAATTGATGCAAAGTTTGTGTGACTTGTCTAAGTAATTTGATAGCTGGGTTGTTCATAATATAGATGAAGTTTTAAGCTGGTGGAGCATTCTGAACTATACTTCTGCCTCCTTTGTCATTTCCTTTTTTTTTTGGGAATGATAAGCTTCTTGACGTATGTGCATGCATGAGAATATACATGCAATAATGTCTGAATTCTTTGTTCTTAGCGTTTCTAATATCTTTACCAGCATGGAGGTGAGGGTCGCTTATGTGAAAAGTTTGCCAATGCAATGCAGCATGTTGTTAGTGATGATGTGAGGTATAATCATTTCCACATAAGGCTATTTGTCAATTGAATGTTAAGTGAACTATAATTTTTGTTTTAATATCTTCTGAGTGTTGCAGATACCTGCACTTCGATTTTCACCAAATATGCGGGCATGTTCACTTCGAGCGCCTCTCTATCCTATATGATCAAATTGAAAATTTCCTCATAAAGAATCGGTATGGATTAAAAGTTCATCTTCTGGATTCAATATTTAGTCTTGTTAGACTGATTGATCATCATTGATATCACATACTAATATTGCTTCTTAACATAATTTTGTTCATAGAGTTTATCGTTTCTTCTTGTTGGCCTTTCCTATTGAATGGCAAAATATTAGGACTATAATATAGCATTTGTGAGTTAAAATGTGGAAGGAAATATCTATTGAAAATTATGTAAAATCTGGAGTGGCCCAATTTGCTTTAATTGGTGGGGTTGACAATTTCAGGCATTGAGGATCATTTTGGGGGTGTCACTTAATATTGCTACTTTTCAATCCATTGTCCATCATCCAGTGTTTGTAGTGCCTTATGCTTTTTCAATCAGATTCATACTTCTGCTTTTGAGATTGTAGGTACTTTTTGTTAAATGAAAAAGGTGAGAAAGTTGAGGTGCAACTTGGAGTTGTGAGGACCAATTGCATTGATTGCTTAGACCGCACAAATGTTACCCAGGTACATTTCTCCTCCTATAATGGTGATGGTCGTTAATGTTTAAAGGTAATTTGCTGCCCCTCCTGTTCCTGTACTTTATTTATGGTTGTTCAATTATCTGAAAAAGCAATGAGCCAATCACCCTGATTTTGAATACTTGTGTCCTTTGTTTGTGTAGGAGCAGGTTGGATGAATTTTGATACCTCTTCTTAATTTATATCTAAAGCAACATGTTAGAATGGGTTGTTTTGTGTCATATTTGCTATATAGTTGATGTGGAAAAACCAATTTAAGTGGTATGATCACCCTCTACCTCCTTGAGGTTGATGTGAGCATATGCATGTTAATGTTGAGGTTAATGTCGCATAGATGATTTCGTAGAGACATCTTACTTGAGTTTCAGTTTTGGTGAATTTTATAAAAGCAACTCCCTCTCTTAAAAATTGAATGCATGTTCTTTACTTTTTCCAGTTAAGCTGTTGTCTCCTAGAGGTGCATCTGTTTGATCTTTTTAAGCAGAAATACTTAAAAAGCATTAAATAATTGGGAGATATGTTTGTGTGGAATGACTTGAGAAAATTCTACTATGCGGGAATTTGGCTTTCAGAAAAGTTTAATTTAAGGATTCTGATACTTTAAGGAACTGACCGCTATCTGATCAAGTAAAATCGGGTAGTAGATTTCAGACTAAGTAATAGACTCTGAGTACAAAAATTTTCTGTGGAATAATTTGAACGAGGACAATTCTGCCCATGCTTTGATTAAAGCCAGGGTTTAAGATTAAGTTAATTTTCTTTGCCACTTTTTTCTAGTTATACTAATTTCTTCTCATGATGGTTTTGGTTACAGAGCATGCTTGGTCGAAAAATGTTGGAATTTCAACTTAGAAGACTTGGTATTTTTGATGCTGAAGAAACTATCAGCACACATCCAAACTTTGATGAAAGTTTCAAAATTTGTGCGTATCTCATTGTAGTCTGTTACAATGAACCTCTGCTGACTTGGTTCTACTGAGTCTTTTGTTATGCTTGATGTGTACTTGTTAACTTCGGTTTTTATGATTCTCTTTACTGCTCTGGCTTGTTTTAAACCTTATTTTTTCTGTCCTTTCCTTACTTATGCCTTTGTTGTCCTTATTTCTCCCAGTGTGGGCTAACCATGGTGATGACATAAGCATCCAGTATTCTGGTACTCCAGCTCTAAAAGGAGATTTTGTCAGGTACCCTTTTATGATCTTCCTTGATTGCATTTTCTGCATCCCATAGAAGATATTAGTCAAGGGCGATGTCCCAAGATACATATGTTTGAGCTTCTAGTCAAGTGTTTTAAGTTGATATCTTTTTGGGAGCATAGAGACTCTTGTATATAGAAATGGTTCAATTATGTAGGTGAACCCTTTTGTGTACGCCAAGGTAGCCAGCAAAGAAACAAATCATCAGTAAACACTATCATGGCACTAGAATTTTGCACTAAGAATTCTGTTTTTTTTTTTTTTTTTTTTTTTTTTTTTGAAGCATCAGTTGTACTTCCTTTTTCTTTCACTTGTTTTCTGGAGAAGAGAGGACCAAAAGGCTGGAGAATAATAAAGGAAAAATGAATTACATATCCAAATACTTGTGTTACTATAAGACTATTGAGTATGTGTTTCATTAGAAGAGAAGAAGGGACTGGAGAAAACAAACAAAAGACAGCAGTCTAGCTTACCTTGTTCTGGTGAGATTTGATACACAAGGCACTTGTCTGTGGGCTTCGCGGAAAGGAGTCTAGTTGCTGCCTCCATGGTGTTATTTCAACAGAGTTTTCCTTGTGGAAATAAATGTTTTGTGGGAAAAACCAAAATGAATTTCTTTTCTGCCTCGTTAGCGTGATGAACTTGCAATGTTCAAATATTCATCAAATTTGTCTTCTGGTCACTTTGTAGATACGGTCAGCGGACAATCCAAGGAATCCTGAAAGATGGCTGGAATGCTCTTATGCGCTATTACTTGAACAACTTTTGTGACGGTACAAAACAGGTTTGTACACTTCAGCACATATGCCTAAGACGACATTATGATACATAAATCAGTTCCATTAATTTTTATGTTCTTTCTAACATGACACATTGAGATTTTTGCTTATTGTGTAAGAGGTGAAGAGTCAAGCCTTTTTTTGTATATGAATGTTTCGCTGGCATCATTGATGTTGAATATTGGAAATCTTGATTGTTAGTGAAGCTGCGGATCTGTTTTCTTTTCTGTCTTTGGATATAGCTTTTTGAATGAATTGCAGTTTCTTTCTTTGCAAACTTAAGAGAAAAATTTGGGTTGGCGTGCAGTAAGATTCTCATTGTTCCACTGTTTTGGTAATAGTTTTCTCCTCACCGTCTTCTTCCTCTTTTGCGTGCTTTTGAAGGATGCAATTGATCTGCTACAAGGACATTTCATTGTTTCTGTCTCTCGAGATATGACTCCCACATCTCAAAAGGGAGGAATTGAGGCTATAGCGGTGAGCATGAATTCCTTGCATTTTCTGATTTGTTCTGGATGCTACATTTTAATACTAATTTAACACTTTAACACAATTCTATTTCTCTCCTATGGTTTTACTAAAAGAACGCTAAGCAAATTTTTGTACCAAAAGATCATCATTAACCTTTCTTTCTTGTTTTGCAGTCCTTCCCATTAGCGTTATCTGTGATAATGACTGGATTCTTTTTTGCATTCATGTCACTAAGGCGAGGTGAGTTCACATATATATCAACAAATTTCTTTTCTTCTTATTCACAGCAATTATGTTGTGCTTTTTTTCCTCCCAATTGTTTTCATGAATTTTTCCCCTTTCCAGCTTTAGCCCTCACGCTCAAACGCATAATATGTCTTTGGATCTAGAATTTTTAGAGAAAAAGCATATGTAAATTAATATTAAAATTGACTGGACAATCACTTGTAATTATCCTTATGAATGAAAGAAATCAGTCTTTACACTTGAAATTCGTTTTGAAGCATTATTCAAACACAAAGGACCTTGCCAGATAGACAGACGAGTCATGGCTATTCGACTGTAATTCTATGAGGAACTGTTGACCTTTGAAAAGGAATTCTTTTGAAGGCATTCAAGAAAAGTCCTTTTCTGCAATGCAATATACAGTGCTTCCCTAGGGATATAGACCCATAAAGAGAATGTCTTATTTGCTCATTTTCATCTCGACGGAGCGTTTAAGATTGGTAACCCCTGTTGATTGAGCAGCTGCTGCATTTTACCATCAGTCAGTTGTAGACAATGCTCTGCATCGCATCTAGCAAGATGTTGTTGTGAAACCTAGCAAGATGCTTTTGTCCCATTTTAGTCATAGACAATTCTGCGTCGTACTTATTTTTCAACTCTCAATAGCTTTTTCTCTATACTAAATCTTTGCACATAATTGCTTTTTTTTTGTTTTCCCCTCTCTGAACAGTTCGAAGTGATTTCTGGCAATTGTTATTCTCAATTTTGTGGGCGGGTGGAAGTTTGGCAATAGCAGCTTTTGTGAAGGCAAATGGTCGAGTTTTCTGTAACCGACCTCGTCTGCACCAACCTCGACGTTGATTCTGGATCGAGGGAGGACACCGAGCATATTTGATGTTTATCAGTGAATTTACAGCATAAGATCTTCTTCATCTGTATGCTCCGACCAATTCTTTGCATTTATATGGTTTCGCACATTGCGTTTTTTGTTACACGAGTCTTTCTGTTGCGCAAACTGACGCACCATTGGCGCCTTCAACTGCCAAATTTCATTTGCCATTTTTGGTTAGACAAATTGCTCTGTAAATCGAGTACTTTTTGTCCAGTTACATCAATTGGGTAAACTAAATCAATTTTCAATTTGTTGAATCTTTGAAAGGATGGCATCCTCTCTAAAGTCACAGGTGCCGCTAAGGTCCTCCTAGTTTTTTCTTTCAACAACCTTGCAAGATAATTGCTGACTCTTGTTAACTTTCTTCAGGTGGATTCCCAGAAAGATGAGCTGACAATTTTTGTTTTGTTTTATTTTTCTTTCAAAAAACCAAGATGCGACCGTCGAGAAAGACAAGTTAAAGAAATCGCAGAAAGAAGGATGCAACCTTCAACCACCAACCCTACAGTTTTGAGGATGTATGCGTAAAATAATCAGCAAAGCATCAAAATTAGCATGGAAATGAAGTCATAAGAGTAGCAGAGGGATTGGGTTGTAGTAGTCATTCGTTATTATTGCTACAAGTATCTGGGGCGGACAATTGAAATGACAAGAATCAATAATTTCCAGATCGAATTCGGAGTAGCGTTCTTGTACCATCATTACCTGTGAATTTTTATGAACTCCGGACGAAAAGCAGAAGATGCAGCTTATTAGGTTGCTTGAAGCTTTTCAAAATTGCTTCTTTCTCTTCTCAAAAAGTGGATGAGCTCTCTGGAAATTCAGTATAGCCCAGACAAGGTGCTCCAAACCAACCTCGGGCCAAAGAGCCGTTGGTGAATACAACAGGCCATTCCATGTCTGCCAGAGAAGGAAATTGCTAAGCCGAGTTTCCCCTGAAGATCTTACCAGAATATCCACATCAGGTGCCACTCCCATGTACATGTTCCTCTCAATATCTGACAGCTTTATATTTGGTTGAACCTCCTTCATTTCTTTGACAAAACCCTTCTGCTCTTCTTCACTCTTCTCCTCCAGCTTTCCATTGCTCAACTCCTGTTTTTCTTCACTTGCATTCTCCAGCTTTTCCCCGTTGGGGAAATCCCCCTGCTTTTCTTTGCCCCTCGGTTCCTTGCTCTTTTCTTCACTTTTATCCTCCTGCTTTTCGCCATTTGCCTCCCCTTGCTCCCTTTCTTCAGGTTTCTCCTCCTCCTTTCCATTCATTATCTCGTTTATCTTCCCAAATGGAGTTCCACTTAGCTTTTCTCTCGCTATCTCGTTTATCTTCCCAAATGGAGCTCCACTTGGTTTTAGTGCTTGCAATTCATTGCCCAGCTGTTCAGAAGATTCTTGAGCAGCATGCACCATCTCATGCAATTCCTCGCTTATCTTACCAAATGGAGCTCCACTTGGTTTTAGTGCTTGCAATTCATCGCACAGCTGTTCACAAGATTCTTGAGCAGCATGCACTATCTCATCAGTCGAAGTATAAGCAACGCAGATGAGGAGAATGCTCCTGCTGTTCTTCGCTGTGGCTTTCATTGCCTGTTCAGCTGCATGCCTGACATTATCATCCAGAAGTTTCAAGTTCCCTATAAAGTACACCCTCACCCCATATTCTTCCACTATAGTCTTTTCCTTGAGCATCCCTTCAATCTTCTCCAGCATCAAATCCATCACATACTTGACCTCATTAGGCTTTCTTTTGAAATTGTCAATGCTGAATGCATAAATGGAGACGTACTTGACCTGCAACTCATAGCAATACTTGATCAAGGACATGAGGGAGAGAAATCCAGCTCTATGTCCCATTCCTTCTCCCAACTTCCATTTCCTAGCATACCTTCTGTTTCCATCCAAAATGAAGGCAACATGGTTGGGGATTGGACCAGCAGACAGAACATCAAACACAAATCTTCTCATGTGGCTAATTGAGCTGCCACATAACCTCCCAACAAGGCTGAGCTTTTGAGGCTCCATTTCCTGCCTAAAGCTAAGCCACAAGATTGCTGCAAGGTGAAGTGGAAGTTAAGCACATTTACACCGACAGGGCAGAAATGGAAAAAGGCAACGCAGACATAAAAGAGGAACATTGCTTTTCAAATTCATCACTGATTGATCACAGAACTTGCATGCAAATAAACTGAAAAGTCCAGATGAGAATACATCACAAGATAAGACTAGTAAACTCTTGAAAAACACACACCTTGCAAGAACACTGTTGGACTCGTTGTAAAGCGGCAGAAACTAAAGGTCCGATTCTGAACTGGAATATTCTTGAGATACAAAAACAAATGAAAGCCTCAAAGGAAGTGAACAGAACAACATTCCCTTCCAGTTAAAAGAAAATTACTGTGAAAATTCTTGCAACTACAGCCCACTTCATATTAAGATTAGATTTGTGTGTATCAAATTATTAGACTCTGTTTACCTGCCAAAGAGAAATAAAATCATTAAACTAGCACTAAAGCACGAATTTAGAATCGTAGGTAGAACTGTAGAAGTGAGAGCAGCCTAGACATTAACCTGTATACAGAATCCCCGGTAAAAGAAGTCGTATACCAGTTCAGAGCTTGCACCAACATATGATCATATACACTGGCGACTACAGTGACGGGACTTTCAACAACCAGATCTATACCAATTTGTTACCATCTTTTTGTTTCAGGACTAAAAATAATTTTCATGTTGCCATCAATCACTGTTCTTGGTTAAGTGCCTTACTTTCAAAAGCCAACAGCTGTTCTTAATTTGTTCTGTTTCTTTTCCACTTCATTGGCACCTATGACATAAGAACGACAAAAAAATGGAATAAAACTAAACCAACTCTCAGTTAGTTCAAAAGCTCTTGTTTTCTTTCATTCACATCCAAGCCAGGACACGGAAAACACATGCAGATCAAAGTCAAGCCCAGGAAACAGAAGAACGACAAAGTCAACAAATGAAACTTCATCACATTCATTGAAAGAGCTCGAAAACAACGAAGAGTACATCCGAGTTCCCTTGATGAAATGGAAGTATCAGAAACCCTTTATACTCCAACAAGAATATAACCAATTACTTCAAAATGGCATAAAGTATAATAAAAGAAGCCAGATGAAAACGCGAAAATAATTATAACTTCTCACCTAGAAGACAAGAAGCAGAGTGGAGTGAGCAGCAGAAACTATAAGCTATGGGAACTGGTAAGGAATATGGTACTACAATACTGCTGTTAGTGGCTTGTCTTAAAAAGTCTCGAAACGCACCAGCGTTTGGAAAACTATTAATGGCCTGGGCTTGAGTAGTTCCGCGAGTATCTACTTATAGGCCAAGCACAGTCAGTTTGGAGCCTTAACAAACGTACGTACCACAATGGTTTATAATATGTTGAACGAAAAATCAATCCGAATTTTTATACATGGTTCAAAGACTCGGCCGAGTCATCGTCAAGGCGCTCCGAGATGGCTATTTTTTTTTTCTTTTTATTTTTATTTAGCATTTTTTTAAATAATTATTTACAATTTTTAAAATAATTAAATGCTGTAAAATATGCATGTCGTTGAAACATAACTGGTATGATATGGCGAGATTGATTTGAAATGACACACGCCGCAACCGCAATCACGATTGCAGCTTCGAATATGATCCGAGAGCTCAGAGGTTATTGAGAATCACACAGATTTTGTGTGTTTCAGAATTTTCTTCATGCAATCCCATGTCGGTTGAATTCTTCCTTAATTTGTTTGTTGTATGAAGCGTTCGATAGCCTAGAAATAATGCAATGGTCCCGTGTTCTCACTTCTCACTTCATGAAAAAGGGTGGAACACCCCAAAAGTGGAGCTTCCTTTCTATCTATCTGTCTTTTTGTGGATGTAGATTTTTGTGATCCATAATCCAAGCTTACCTCTGAGTTTGCGCAGTAGAATTTATGATGATAGAGCCACTAGCTTTTCTTTCCTTCTCTTTTCTTTTCCCTTCCCTGCCAAAACCAAAAGGTAGAAATTATTACAATCTTGAAGCAGTAAAAAATAAAACAAATGAATAAAAGAGTGGCTCGTCTTTTGAAGGCACCTTTTGGAGCTGAACCTTTTTCTTTTTGGTGTCTGCATTTTTTTTTTTTTTTTTTATAATCTGAGTGCTCAAATGATTGTCAGATTGGTGGGACTGGAAAGCAGGCCAGTAGTAAATCTATTGTAACCTGACACGTGATTTTTGTGCCCTATGAATTGTATGTATGCACCCTTTTGCTTGCGTTATTGCCATGTGTGACCAGAGCAGTTAGGTTAGGTGGTGTAGAAAAACTGCATAATGATGATCGGATGATTAATTTCTTTTAGGAGCGGTCAGTCAATCTTGAGGATACTTTTCCACTAGAAAAAGAAAAAGAAAAAGAAAAATGGTTTGGAAATGTCCTTTAAGATGTTGGGATTTCTTTCTAATTGTTTTGGCCTCTCAATTTTCTTATGGTTTTTATTCCTTGTTTTTTTTCTGTGGCTTTAGATTTTTTTTTGTTTATTCCAAGATAAAAATCTAGGATTTTCTAGATGCTGGTTTTTGTTTCTTTTTTCATGCTTTCATTATTTTCAGATAGTAGTATTGTGTGTGTGTTGCAGATCATGACTAGGTAATGTCCTTTTTTTTTTTTTTGTCGATACAGGGGTGTTCGGATCAATTCTTACGGGGCCGACTAATCTCCTGCGGTCTGGGCCCGACGCCCAACCCGGTCCGAACACGTTAAGTGCGCGGAGGAATCCAGTGGAGCGGAGATTCGAACTTGTGACCTCAAGATTCACTGGTGAGAAGCGCTGTCGCTAGACCATTCAAGCGGGGGACTAGGTAATGTCCTTGTCCTCTATAAATTTGGTGAATTTGCGCCCATGCATGCTCTGATATGGACGAATGAAGAATCTTGCAATTTTAAAATTTCTTAGTGTACCAATAAAATATAACTTATCTATTCCCCAATTTGATCGACCCTGGTGGTGGTCACAGAAACATCACACCGAGTTTTTCTTTTAAACTAAAAATATTAAAATTGAAATTAACATATTTGTCCAAAATTTTTTTATTGTTTAGCACATAAATTGAATTTATCTACAAGACTTGGATGCCACACACCGCACCAGTCGATGTCAAGACCACGTTGGCAGGATTGCAGTCATACGGCATTGTCTGGTGGCATCAATTTCCAGTGGAAAACCAACAGGCAGTGGTAGGGCTGATAACCAAACTCCCCCCCCCCCCCCCACCTCTCCCTCCCCCTGCCGGAAGTTGCAATAGCATAAACAAAAGAAAAATTTATTTCTTTTTCCTCTCTCCCCCTCTCCTCCCCTTCCCCCTCCCCCACCACCTCTCTCTCTCTCTCTCTCTGCCCGCGGGAAGTTGCAACAACAGAAACAAAACAAAAAATTTCTTTTTTCTCTCTCCCCCTTTCTCTCCATCTCCTCCCTCTCTCCCTTGTATAGGCTAAATTAGGAATATAATAGATGTTGCCGTTTGGTTTTAAAAAAAAAAAAAAAAAAAAAAACCAGTAGGGCATATACTTTAACACAAAACAACCAGTAAAGCATATATTTTACCTTCTTCACAGGAATTTTTTGAAAATTTCACTAGCGAGTGCACGTACATCCATTTGATTCGATGGTGATTCAATTCTCTTCCTCGTATCATAAAATAAAAGTAAGTGCAGAATAAAACTTATTATATATACACACTCTTTAGTACAGTGGGCAAAAGTTTTAATTGCAAAAGGACAAAGACGTGACCAGAAGCACTCCTCTTTTTAAGTTCAATCTTTTTTTTTGGAAAATCGTTCAAAACGTTCCTCACATTTTGTAAAATAATTTTTTTTGTCCCTCACTTTTAAAAATATAATTTTACATCCCTTACAAATTCACATTGGTCAAATTTGGTCCCTATTTAAATTTTCGACTAGTTTTTTGTCGGAATTCACCACGTGTCTTGCACGTGATCATATTTTAAGGGCAAAATTGTCAAATTAAATTTTATATAATTCGATTCATAATCCTTCACATTTCATAAAATAAATTTTTTCGTCCCTTACATTTCACAAAATAAATTTTTTTATCCTTCAAAATGAATTTTTTTCATCTTTTTATTGATCATGTGTGTGAATAATTTTTTTAAAATCTATGTATATATCTATTTGATTTTACCTAAACAGTACGAATAGCATGTGAAATCAAATAGAGATATATTACATACTATTCATACTGCTCAAGTGAAATCAAATAGATATATAAATGGGTTTAAAAAAATTGTTAGTTTTTCACTTATATTCATTTTTTTACTCGAAATTTGAAAATAAATAAAATATTTAATCCTAAATATTATCAAGTGTTTATATCGAATTAAATTTAGACAAAAAAATAAACAAAAGAAAATTATGACAAAAAGAAATAAATGATTGGCATTTTCAAATTTTAAAATAATCACAAGGCAAGTAATTCAACTGTTGGTCTTAAAAGTGTCGAGTAGAAATTTCATATTTAAACTGAAATTTGTTAGCACAATTATAGAATTCGAGTTAGGATCCATTAATTAAATGACCTTATTATACAATTCAATAAATAAATTATTACCAAAAGAGAAATGTCACAAATATTAAATAGGTTCAAATGGTGAAATCATATAAATATGTACATGGGTTTCAAACAAAATTATTAGTTTTAAACCCCTATATATATTTATTGAATAGCATGTGTATAACTACGATTAGCATGTTTAGATAAAATCCAATAGAGATAAATTACATGTTATTCGTACTGTTCAGGTAAAATTAAATAAACATATATGTGGATTTATAGAAAAAAAGCTATTCATACACATGATCAATGATGGATGAAAAAATTCATTTTGAAAAATATGAGGGATAGAAAAATTCATTTTGTAAAATGTGAGGGACTATAAATCAGATTATATAAAAATTTGATTTGATAATTTTGCCCTTAAAAAATGATCACATGCAAGTCATGTTGTGAATTCTGGCAAAAAATTAGTCAGAAACCTAGGTAGGGACCAAATTTGATTAATGTGAATTTGTAAGGGATGTAAAATTATATTTTTAAAAGTGAGAGATGAAAAAAATTATCTTGTAAGATATGAGAGACGTTTTGAACGATTTTTTCTTTATTTTTTATGCCAGCGAAATAATTCCAGTGAACAGGATCATAAATAATTGCGGGACGTCCATTTAAAGGTTCCGCTGTATTCAAAGATGAGTGAGCGGATTTATGCGATCTCGTGCTCTTTCAAAAGGCGAGCCTGGATCTGCATGGGGTCTTGTCCGTGTCTTGACTTTTCTGCTGGGCGGACAATCTAACCATCATGAGAGGAGGAATCCCTGAACGTGGGGAATAAAAAAACCCCCTACCAATTGGGGCACGTAGCACTCTTTAACACGCCACGGTGCATGCTTACATTTATTATGAATTCTCCAGCAAATTCTTATATAAGCTGATAAAAGGGTAAACAACACTTTTTGTCTGTGCTGTTGCGTAGCATCAAAAGGCTAGTAATAAATGATTTCAAAATAAGTACTCGATAGAACCCAATGGTGCATCGTTTATGAGATGAATTTCTTTTATTCAACGACGACAATAATCTACGCTAGCCTACCCCTCCTCGACCGCTCCTATCCTAAACTCGGGGAGCTGAATCGGGTTCACCGCACCTATAGAAGAACTTTTCTTTTTTGTTGCCCTTTTTGGGTTGGTGGGGGGACATTTCGTGGTAATTTCTGAATTTTATCACAGTTTGTACTTTGTACGGGCTGATCGAATCAACGCAGGAATCCAGATCGATGCATCAATCATAAATGTTTTTGACCTCAGTCGCATCCAATTCATGTCCGAGACATTGCTAAATCACAACCACCACCCTCCTCGTGAATCATATGTTGCTGGGGAAACCTAAGGAGAAACCCAATTCATATCCGAGACATTGCTTAGCACTGGAAAAAAAAAACTCTAGCACTTCATCCCCTTTTTTATGCTTCTAATAAAGAAAGGATGGAACGGAACGTTAGCGG